TCTCACTACCGCCCAACTTTTCATTAGAAACCGCATAGTAAACCCATTAGGCCCTAGAGCTTTGTCCCCATTACAACTGGATAAAGCCTTTAGAACTTCGTCTTTAGTAAAAGGAATCTCAAGCTTATCTCTATCCAACTCAGAAATAGCCTCAAAATGGAGACCATCAAGTTTGGGTCTCTAAGCTAACGGCTTGCAGTAAAGCTTCTGGTAAAAGGAAACGATCCCATTGCGCACCTCTCCACAACTCCACACCTTCCACCCAAATTCGTCATATGTGATTACTCCTTCTGTGAGCATTAGCGAGTCTGTGTAAAAATTGTGTTCCGATCTCCCTCCTTTTGCCAAAGAGCCCGGGATTTTTGTCTCCACGAGCTCTCCTCTATACTAGCAATCTCAGCAAAAACTGCCTGACAGGAGGCTCTCCTAGAACGTAATTCCTACACATCCCCGCTCGCCTCTTCAAAACGATCAATCTCAAAAAATTCGGCAAGGACTCTATTCTTCCTCCATTCAAGATTCCCAAAAACATCCTTATTCCATTTCTTAGTATCGAATTTGAGAGCTCTTAACTTCTTTGTTAACATGAAGCTGGGCAAACCTGTAACTAATGCTCCCTCCCACCAAGACCGAACTTTCCCTTGGAAGTCCTCCACCCTCAGTCACATATTCTCAAGCCGAAACGGGGATCTTCGAGAATACAAACCCCTGCAATCCAAAACCAAAGGAACATGATCAGAGGTGACCCTTGCAAAAACTGCCTGAACGACATCCGAGAATTTCTCTTCCCACTCCCCAGAAATAAAAAATCGATCCAGCCTTGAAAAAGTGCTGGGTCCCTGCCATTTGATCAGGTATAGGCTGCACCTTCCATTGGTAAATTAATGAGAAAATTCTCATCAATAAAGTCAGAAAACTTATCCATATTTGAAGACCTCCTTCCCCCTGTAGACCTCTCTTACGGGATCTAATAGAATTGAAATCCCCACCCAGACACCAAGGAAGAGACCACAATCTTTGAACATGGCAAAGCTCCTCCCAGAAAATAGGTCGATCATTATCAACAACCGGTCCATAAACCCCCGAAAAAATCCATCTGAAATTGTCCTCTTCCATTTGAAACTCACAGGAAACGAAGAATCTCCCCATCCACACGTCCATCCTCGACAGCCATCTACTATTCCACATAACTAAAATTCCGTCCGAAGTACCTATAGCATTCAAGGCTTCCCATTCCACAAACCTTCCACCCCACAAACTCCAACCACCCCATCAGAAATAGATGCCAACTTGGTATCTTGCAAACAAACAACCTGGGCCCCCCACTTCCTTAAAGTTACCTTTACCACCCTCCTCTTGTTCGGGTCGTTGAGACCACGAGCATTCTATGTAATGATTCGTAGCTTCATTAAAAACCAGATAAGATTATTTCCCCTCCCCCTTTATAATCTTGCTTTTGGTCCTTCCCCTCACCCTCACCACCCATCTCTTCCCTTCATAATTGACATAAGAGATAAGATTCTTGACCTCCTGCGCCCCTTTCCAGGACGATAAGGGCCTCGTGTTCACGACTTCATTAGTCACTACAACCTCTCTTCCTTCCACTATTGCTTGAAGGATGGATAATGTCTGGTCGTTATTACCCTCTGATGAGACACCCAACAGCTCACTAGTGACTCTTATATTATCGACTACCCAATCCTTTCCCATATTAGCAGCCGCACAACAGCCAGGTCGCACAACAGCCAGTGGTTCCTCCACTAACACGTCAGAATCATTCTCCAGCCAAGGGGCAAGCTCATTAGAGCAAACTTGTTGGATGGAACCCAGGTCATCATTCACCTCCCCTTCAATGTCTTCCATTCTCAAGCATCATATCCGAATCTGTAGCGTAGTCGCCCATTCCATTACACACAAATTTAGCAGACTCGTTCTCCTCAACCCCTGCAAGTGGCAAGCAATTAAGGCCTTTCAAGGCTACACACAAATGAAACTATTTGAACAGAGCCATAGCCTCATCCTTAGACAACTGAAAATGGAGATCTCTCCCTAAGTAGACCGTAACCCCCTCAGGCGCGTCCTTAACTGCACAATTAGCTGGGTTAACATGCCTAGAAATAACAGATTCGTAGGCTTCCTTCCCTTCTACGAAAGCATAGTCGTTGATGGCCATTATAGCTCCATTATAATTTATTACAGATCACAAGAACTATGTTAATGTATCTCTCAATATGTCAAAGTTATTTCTCATAGCTCATATATTAAAGGCCAAGTTATTTGAGAAGTTCAAATAGGTCCACCTTAAAGTTTGTGAGGGAGCATGTCTTGGTTCCTACATCTCAAAATCACCATTTTAATCTTCAATTTTTTTTTTTTTTGAAAGAATGTAGTATGTTACATTCACAAGCACCATAATATTTGCTTGATTACTGAATTGTTTCATAATCTTCGAAAGAATCTCTTGGAATAAGGTAGTATCTCACAAATTCTTTTATTTTTTATTTACTCATTGTTATGCTCAAGAAAAAAACAGTTTAAAGTTCTGGAAGCCATACTCCTTTAAATGCTTGTATAATAAAATGTTTTAAACCTGTGAAATCATATCTTTGGCCTTTTTCCCTTAAAAAACTGATTGTCAATTTAAGGCGGGGCAACTTGTTGAACTGAAAATGGGTTGGAGCATGGAAGGATACAAGTATGTAATGCTCGCGCCTAAGGCCTTGATAGAATGTATTTTGATGTATTATGTAGAAGCCTGTGCCCAGTACACAAGTTAAAGTTCAAACTTTGAAGTAGGTTGGCATGCGGTCATTGATTCCAGGAATTGGTGTTAAAAAAATGGTCTAAAGTGTCATCTGCTTTAAAGCAAATTATAAGAAAACATATTTGGGGGGAGGGGTGGGGCGAGTAGTGTTGTTAAAGGCATGTCTAGTCTCCAGGTGTAACGGGTGGGTTCTTCGCGATCTGAACCAAAAGCTTAAGCTATTATGTGGGGTTAACACCCAACCCATTTATACAAATTATACCCATTACATTTCATATCCGGATTCGATGTGGGACAAGTCCCATTTGTAACATCTCCCCCACTCGAACTTGCACTTTGTGCAATAGGGTCACCCTGCCTACCCGGGGTGACCCGGACACATCCGAGCCGGGCGCTTGACTTGGCTTGGCACCGGATCATGGACTGGGTCTAACTTTGATACCAACTGTAATGGGTGGGTGCTTCGGGATCAGACCCAAATGCTTAAGCTATTAGGTGGGGCTAATACCCAAACCATTTATACTCATTACATTTCCCATCAGGATCCACTATGGGACAAGTCCCACTTGTAACAGCAGGATTATACAAGCACAACACTTGCGCCTGTTGTGTGCCCAGGAGCGCCTTTGACAACATTTGCACCTTTATAATGGAATATGAATATGTTTTAATAGTAATAAATTTTTCAATTGTGCATCTCGCTTTAGTCAGGCTCGCGCCTAGGCTCCAAAGGACCAATAGCGCCTTGGTAGAAGTGATCACTTAAAATGCAACTTGAACATAATATGTGATGGAAAAGGAAATTCTTATTTCATGTCCTGAATAGTGATTGTGGTGGATGATGTACACAACTTTATATCGAGGGAACTATAACCACATAAAAATTTAAATGAATGAAAAACGTAAACGATGAAGCATAAGTAATTGACACTAGGTTGAATGGCCATTAATTCATTAAAAAGGTACTATAATGGTGCGGAAGAGTTGAGGTTGAGTCTTTCCTGTCTTTAGAGTTGAAAGTCTTGTCTCAGAGTGTCAATGAATGTGATTTTTATGGAATATCATAAAATGCATGAGATTAATTTATGTTTAGCCACATCCTTAAATTGTTAAATGCTAGTAATAACACACTATAATGAAACTAAAAAGTGTAGCTTGTCAGAAGAAAATTGAGAATCAATGTCAGATCACACATGGAAGATAAATGTTGTTTAAAGCGGTGGCCATTCTTTTGTTCTTGTAAAAAAATTGTCATAAATGAGACTTAATCCATTTCATTTTGGCAACAATACTTAATATTTGAAACAAATAAATTTGAGTAACAAAATGAGAAAGTTAAGACTAAATTTTTAAATAATATATCTTAAGCAACTTTGACTTGAGATTTCAAAATGTGAAAGTTTGGAATGAAATTTTAGAAGAAGTATAGGAGAAAGGATGTAACATAAATGGGGAATTTTATTTATTTAATTATTTTGAAAATGATTCTTGTTCTGATTTAATTTACTTTTTATTTTGTTTAAAAATAGGTGCTTACAGAGACTGATTTTTAAAATTTTTTTAATTACGAAAATATATGCTGTTACGAACTTCTGAAGTATTATATAAAAAATGCACTATAGACATTAGGTGCGTTTATATGCCTGAACAATGTTTTTTCTTTCATGTTTAATATATCAATATACATTTACTTTTCTATGATGTTAATCCTATAGTGCAAAATCATTTTGGAACTACTTTAAGTTTGAACATTTTATCACATAATATTGTTGGAAGTCATATAGAATAACTTTTATATATAAGAAGCACTTTGCAGGTCTTATATATTCAGCTGCTCTTATTCTTTAGTTTTATCCTGTAACTTGTATGCTTTTCATATAAATGCAATTATAGTATGTGCTACATTTGTCTATGGATGCAGTATGCCACGTTTGAGTTGAGTTAGGTTGCGGAAGATTGTATCTCAATATTTTTCAACCCAATTGCAATCCATTCCTACCTTAGGTTGGATTGGCATTTGCCTTTTCCATTTACAGCTTGAGCTTTGTAGTAGAATTTCAGTTCAATTTTGTGCATGGGAGTGGGTTCAAAATGCCAATGTTTCGGCTTTACATGGATTGCGTGTGTGAATGTTTGTCGTTGTTGTATGTATTGGGGATTTTTAATGGTTTCCAGTAATTACTTTATAATGTTCTATTATTCATATTTCCCTGATTAGTTTTGTTTTTTAGGACAGGTATTATAGCCTTTTGGTGCCCTTGACTCTCCAATTCTTGTGGTTGCTGTATATTTTCACTGGCTGAGTATGAAATTGTTCAAGCATGCATGATCTTGTACTCATACTGTTCAAGCATGCATGCTGCTAGCAAAGGAGTCAAAAGTATGGTCATTGTTGATCTATCTTATACATTTTGTTTTCTATCTTTAATATAATAAACATCGTAGCTTTTGACTCTTTTCTTTCTCCCTTCTCTAGCTATATATATATATATATATATATATATATATAAATTTGTATGTATTTATATTCTCTCTGTAGCCATGTCCAATTGTTTGAGACCGTTGAATGATTTTATCTTATTCCTGTTCATTTTCCCTATTCAGTTGATATCTTTTCATTACTAGGTGTATAATAGTCGGATAACGTTTAAAGTATGTTTAATGAAATGTAGTAGTAAATAATTCATGAACAAAAAATCTTGTAAGTACTTTCAGAAAATATTTAGAAAAACAAATCTTTAGGTAGAAAAAAAGGTTAAATTTTTTAACTAAATAATAGTTTATTAATTTTTTTTCGTAGTTGGTACTCGCACACCCCCCCTCCAAAGAATTGTTTGCACATAGCAGGAGTCGATCCTAAAACCTGATGTTTCATGAGGCACTAGTGCCCAAGTCTTTTCCAACTAGGCCAACCCCTTGGGGTTGAGTAATAGTTTATTAAGAAAAGAAAAAATAATTTTAGATATACTCTATGTTATACAGTATTGTATGAGTTGTCACGTTGTACAGTATTATATGAGTTGTCACACGTGTACAAGTAGTATTGTATGAGTTAGTCACCTACCTCTCATTACCATACATAGAATTATCATGTATAGGGTTTACTTATTCTCCACTCACTCACTCCCGTAGCTTCTCCTATATAAACACCATTGTATTATTGTATTACTTACTCAATAACATATATGTTTTCATATATTCTCTTTCTTTCTCTCTCTTTTGACATGGAATCAGAGCGGAAATCGATCCCTCTTAATTTATTTTTTCAAGTCTTATTCAGACTCTCCTATCTTGATTCCATCTCGACTTTCTCTCAGCAATCTCTTCTCGACGATCTCAATTCTCATATCGGCAATCTCTCTTGGATCCCTATTTGATAATTTCTCTCGGGTTCATCTCGGTTAGATATTGGTTCTTTTATCTCGGCTCCCGCTCGCTACTATACCTCATTTGTTCGGCCGCTCTTGTGATGGATAATAAGGAATCCCATCTTCTTGGGTCAATCACCATCACCAAACTGAAAGGCTCGAAGTACCTTTAATGGTCTCGAGCCGTAGAGGTGTTCTTACAGGCTTGAGGAAAATTGTCCCATCTTAAATCAACCAAACCCACCAGTGATGAAAAGATTATTGAGGCTTGGGAGAAAGAAGATGCTCAGGTTATGACTTGGTTATGGAACAACTTGGAGCTTGAGATCTTCAACGTGTCATTTCTAGAATCTACCAAAGATATCTGGGAAAACCGCAGGGACATGTATTCTTCAGAGATGAATATTTCTCGTATTTATTAGTTGTATTAGGATATTTTTGATCTCCAGCAGGGAGATCGTTTTGTTAAAGATTATTACTTAGGACTGAAGGGCATGTGGGAAGAATTGAATATCTACCAACCATTGACTATAGACATAGAGCAACAAAAACGACATAGGGAGGAGTTTCAGGTGGCAAAATTCTTATCTAGACTTAAACCCGAACTCGTTCTGATCAGTTCGTAAATTTTGTCCGGCAAAGAGATACTCACAGCAGGTGAGACTTTTGCTTGAGTTCGAAGAGCATATATTCATGCCCTTGTGATTGAGAAGGACAACCACTCTGCTCTTGTTGTTCCTGCTGAGCGATATGATACTTTCCGTGGAGGACGAGGGGGTAGAGGTCCTTCCAACCAAGGCTGTGGTACTCGAGGTGGTCGCGACAGCCAGAAATGGACTCATTGTGGCCGAAACAATCACTCAGTTGACTTCTGTTGGGCTCTTCATGGCAAGCTAGCTTGCGCTAATCAAGCTTTGGTTTCGGAGGAGACTATACCCACTCTTGCGAATGAACAAGTCGTTCTCTCCAAAGCCGAATATGATTCTCTGGTAAAGCGTGAGCGTGTAAATCAGCCCTCCTCCACCGCTATTATCATTACTTCAGGTAATACGTGTTTCCATGCTTCATCTTCTATACCTTGGATCATTGATTCAGAGGTATCCGATCACATAACAGGTAACCCATCTCTTCTTTATGACACTTCTCATGTTTTACCACCATCGATTGTTACTATAATGAATGGTGCCAAATCACCTGTTCATGGAATTGGTACCTTCTGCACTTTGCGTCTCACTTTTTCATTAGTTTTATATATCCCTCAATTTTCATTCAATTTCTTGTTAGTTCGCAAAATCATATCAGGTTTAAATTGCTCAGTTACTTTTTCTTCTTCTCGTTGTGTTTTTCAGGATCTCAAGACAAAGAAGACGATTGGTGGAGGGTTTGAGAAGGATGGTCTTTACTACTTCTAACCAACTACTGCTCCGACAACTCTACATTCCACCTCCTCTTCAGCTTACCAGTGGCACACACTACATTCCACCTCCTCTTCAGCTTACCAGTGGCATTGCCGCCTTGGACTTTCCTCTTCAAATAGTCTTCGAGCCTTGGTCCCTTATTTAGTTGATTTTTCTAAGTGTAATTGTACTACTTGCGAACTTAGTAAATATTTTCGGGCTACTTTTAAGTCACGTTTTGATAATAGAAGTTTAAAACCTTTTGAGTTAGTACATTTAGATGTTTGGGGACCAGCTCGTACTATTGGTTTATTTGGTGCTCGTTATTTTGTGTCATTTATTGATGATTATTCACGTGTAACTTGGGTTTATATTCTTAAAGATAGATCTCAAGTATTCTCTGTTTTTCAATCCTTTTATGCTGAAATTCAAAATCAGTTTGATGCAAAATTACTTATTCTTAGAATTGACAATGCCCTTGAATATAAACTTAGATGTTTTTCAAAAGTTTCTTGAGTCGAGGGGCATTATCCATCAAACATATTGTGTTGATACCCTGCAACAAAATGGAGTTGCTAAACGAAAGAATGGCCCACTCCTAGCTATCGCTTGTGCCTTAATAATTCAAATGCATGTTCCAAAACATTTTTGGGCAGATGCAGTTCTGGTTGCTGCTCATCTTTTAAACCGCATGCCTTCTAGGGTTCTTCATGGAAAATCACCCTTCCAAATGATGCTTTCTGACAAAAACCCTTTTTCCATTCCTACAAAGGTGTTTGGGTGTGTTTGTTTTGTTCATAATCTAAGTCCGGAACGAGACAAACTTGATCCTCGTGCTCACAAATGTATTTTCTTACTTAATTCTCGCACTCAAAAGGGATATAAATGTTACAGTCCAACTCTTCGTAAACAATTTGTGTGTGCAGATGTAACTTTCTTTGAGGATGTTCCTTATTATTCCCAGGCAGTCGTTTGGAGGACTCTGTTCTTCAAGAGTATGTTCTTCCAACTCCAATTTTTGATTTTGACATCCCAACAACTCTTCGTGTCTTTGCTCGTCGCCAAAAAAGATTAGTTAATCATGTTCCAATGACTGAAGTAGTAAACCCAGCCTTGCCACTTCCACCAGTCGCCTCAACGCCTGGAGATTCTCCCATCTTTGCGGATTCCTATTGCTGTTCGGAAAGGTAAACGGTCTTGTACCAATCACCCTATCTCCAATTTTGTATCGTATAATAAATTGTCCTCCTCCTTTCAAGTTTTTTCTTTGTCATTATTCTATATTGCTCTTCTTAAGTCCTATAAGGAGGCACTTTCTCATCCAGGGTGGAGGAAAGCTATGGAAGAAGAAATAAACGCTTTAAAATTGAATCAAACTTGGGACCTTGTTCCTAAGTTTGCTGAAGGTTGTTGGTTGTCGTTGGGTTTTTACTGTTAAACAGAAGCCTGATTGTACTGTTGACCATCTCAAAGCTCGACTTGTTACTAAAGGCTACACTCAGACTTATGGCTTTGATTATACTGAGACGTTCTCTCCTGTGTCCAAACTGAATTATGTTCGTGTTTGCAGCTAATCTAGACTGGCCACTTCATCAACTTGATGTTAAAAATGCCTTTCTGCACGGTGACCTTACCGAGATAGTCTATATGACTCAACCATATGGGTTTGAGTATAAGGGGGAGTGTGTGTGTCATCTTAAGAAGTCTATCTATGGCCTTAAACAGTCCCCTCGTGCATGGTTTGATAAGTTCAGTAAAGCAGTGGTAGCTCATGGTATGACTAGAAGCCAGGCTGACCACTCTCTCTTTTTTAAGAAAACTAAACGTGGTATTGTGATTCTTGTGGTGTATGTAGATGTTATCGTTATCACCGACAGTGACAAAGATGGGATAGAAGTTCTAATCCATCACTTGAGTTCTAGCTTCCTTACTAAGGATTTGGGCAAACTTCGGTATTTTCTAGGAATTGAGGTGGCTCGGTCGAAGCAAGGCATTAGTCTTTCTCAGTGGAATTTTACTCTTGATCTCTTACAGGATATTGGATATCTTGGTTCGAAACCTGTAGCTACACCCATGGAGACTATGCAGTCAGTGTTGTGAGCCAGTTCATGATTGTCCTTGGGTACCTCACATGGAGGCAGTTGTACGCATCTTGAAGTATCTCACGGGTGCTCTGGGATGTGGTCTGCTTTATCGATCTTCTGGACATCTTCGGATTGAGGGATACACAGATACACATTGGGCCGGTTCTCCTTCTGATTGGCGGTCCACCACGGGCTACTGCACCTTCATAGGAGGAAATCTAGCAACTTGGAGGAGTAAGAAACAATCTACCTTTTCCTTTTTTCCCGCCTAAAGAAAACTTATATACAGTTCTAGTTATACTGAGGAGAAAAATCTAGAAAATACACCAAATGCACAAGATCAACTTAATTCGACAAAACATTCCCAAACTATTTGGGGTTTAGCTGAATGTTTCCTTTTTCACTGTTTAGATCTATTAAGGCTGTAACTTACGTATTAGTTTTAATATTTTGCTTCTTTCTCGATATGGACCACATCACTCTTTGTTATTGATGCTACTATTGGTTTTCTCTCTGCATGGCCAACCAATTTTCTCTTAATTGATTTTTCTCTTGTTTTATCTTCCATGGATGCAACTTCAGCCGTTTGAAATTGAATGTAAGCCTAGGA